AAAGACAGGTATAGGAATTGGTTGGATATAAATATCAATGTAGGAAGGTTAGAAATGTGATTGCCAAGTTGAGCATTGTTAAACTAGTTTTGATATATTAATATTTAAATCTCAAATCGCTAAACTTTTAAGATCGTTCCATTTTGGTCGCTAAAATTTCAAAATGTCCATTTTTGTATAAATTTAGGTTTGTTATTCCAATCTCTAAATTTTCGTAAGTAGCTATTTTAGTCTTTGAAATTTTAAAGGTAATCATTTAGGTCATTGAACGTTCATAATGTCTATTTTTTGTCTCAATATATTTAGAATATTCATATACTAAAATGGAATAAAGCTAAAAGTTGACCGACTAAAATATGATAAAAGAATATGATTTAAACTTATTTATAGATTTGTGGGTTAGAATTCTGAGCTTTTGTTTGAGTTATAATATTTGAAAAAGTAATAAAAATATGTGATTTTATTGAATAATGTTGTACATGGAATTCAAAGGAGAGTTCCCAATAATAGCCATCTACAATAATGATCATCACACGGACATTACAGGATTGACTTATATAGTGCCATTATGATATGAAAAATAATATGACATATACCATTTTTTTGTTTTTGTTTTTTAGTTTTTAATAAAATTGTTAAAGTGGAAAGAGAGCCATAGATAATTCTTCTTTTAGGCCAATGGGATTTTTCTGGTTGTATCATTTGATCAAATGTTGTCAAGCTGACATTTTTATCACTAATATATGTTATGTATTTGATATTGATATAAATAGTGAATTGACATTTTTACAGTATAGTAAAAAAAAATTGACAAAGATAATACTAAATATTACTAATATAGAGTATAGACATATATTAATAATTTTTAACTTATTTGAAAAATAGTGGAATGTTCGTTATAAACTTTTATTTTTTATAATTTTTTTTAGAAATATCACATTTTATCATGTTTCTACTACCATTTCATATAATTAAGATCTCTACATTTCTATGAACATTAATCTTTAAAATTTTGGAGAGATTTGATAGATTGTATGGATTGTTTAGAATTTGATTTAAATATAATGTTGTCTTTTAGAATACAAATACTTTAAAAATATGTTTCTATAATTGTTTTTTAAAAGGTTTTTTTTTCTTCCTAATACGTTTTTACAGATGACATGATTTTCGCGAATAAAAAAAAAAGTTCAGTTATTCTTTTCGAAAGTATGATTTGTCATGGTAATTCTAATGTGCACAGTGACATTATTTTTATAAATCATCCAATTACAATTTCCCAATCTAAATTTATGGGCAGATTTAAAAATAAAAGCATAAAATTGTTTTCAATTCATTTTACCAAACGGGTTCTTTATTTATGATTTATGTTATTTAAATCAACTGTGATCTATTAAAATTACAATCGAGATCATGAAAACATCTTATTTTTCTACATATTTTACTTTATTTTTTCTTTTTGTACTCGTGCATATTTCTTTTCTAGAGAATGTAAGGCACATATATTTAAACTTCCCATCTTAAGAGACGCATAAGATGTTATTTACGGTCAGTTATGCTTATGTTGGCGATACAACTTGTACACATGTCAATTGACATGTGGAACTTGTATATGAGGGGTGATAAAATGTAGTATGTTGATTGAAACTTAAATCAACAATATATGAAATATTACCGTGTAAGAAAACTGTTGGGTTGTTATTCCTTTCATGGTTATAATCTCTTTTAGTTAAGTACACTTCCCTCGATGATATGAAAAATTCCTTTTCAACACGAGAAACATCACTTTCAAGCACACTCACATCTAGAAAATGAATTGAGAAATTATTGTAAATTAAATAAAAAATGAATCATGACATAGACATTATCAGAGCGTTTGAGACTTAACTTCAACCAAGGGATATACAGAGGAGGAGCGGTAAATTGTGGAGATTATATTTGGGTTGAGTGAGAGGGTGTTGGGCATATGACTTAACCTAATTAAACATGTTAATTATCATACATAGACTTACTTAAATTTGCCTAAAAATTAGGTATCTAATGTATTACTAAAAAAAGAAAAATACACTCAATAATGATGCTGAGACTGAGAGTTAATTATCACCCATAGACTTGCTTGAATTTGTCTATAAATTAGGTACTCCATACCTTCATCATAATAAATATGTCAATCACATTTTTTATTAACTTTTTCATAAATTTGTAATATTTTTATAAAATCAATGGAATTAGCAATTAATAGGAATCTTAATACCTATAAATTATATACTGTTGGATGTATTCATTCATGAACATTATATTTTAATACCAAAGCTTACTTGTAATTGGTATCTAGTCATTTTATTGAAATTGGTAATTCAACTTTCATACCTCCAATTTGTTATACTAAAAAAAAATATATTATTTTTAATAAGTAATTTAAAAATAAGTAGGAAGGAAGGACAACAAATATTAACCGTAGAAACTTGACGTTTATTAAAGGTTAAAAAACTTGTCCTTGTACTCGAACAATTTAATTTATGAATTTTAGTTTGCAAGATTTAGTTCCTATACTTTCAAATTGGTAATAGTTTAGCCTATAAACTTACTATAGTTTAAAATTCGTAACAATTTAGTTTCTATCATGAAGAGTTTTGTTAAGTTGCTTATACATGTGGCTTGATAAAATGGCGAGCGACTAAATGAGTTTATAAATTACAAAGATTAAATTGTTATATGATAATAGTCAAAACTTAATTTTGATGAGATTTTCATGATAGGGATTAAGTTGTTACAAAATTTAAACTATAGAAACTAAGTTATCCTACCATAGTTGAAGGGATAAAATTATTACGAATTTGAGAGTAGAGAGATTAATTAATTACGACGACCAAATGTGTTTCTTAACTTTTATTAAATTGTTTCGTTCGGGAGTTAAATAGTTCAATTGATTCAAGTATATATTATAAAACTATCAAGAAATTTGACGGGTAAATTGAAAATAGTAAAAACATAAAATAGAACTCTGTCTCAAAAGTTATGTTTTTCGAATCATGGATGGAAGGAACGCATCGTAATTTGATTAGTAATTCACGAGTGACACCATTTTTGGTGGTGAGAGAAAAGAATTGCCAAAAATCAAACTGTATAAATTAGGACTTATAAACCTCACGAGCGAAACATTCCTAGAATAATACAATACAATCAAACGGGTGTTCTTCATTTTACCTTTGCAAAAACGTTAAAAAAGCTCTCGCTTTGACAGTGGAATCCTCCAATTCTCGTCGACTCCAATCATTTTGACGACACTGTCACTCACGCCTGATTTTGTAACCCGACCCACCTATATAATTCTCTTACTCCCTTCCTCCACCGGCCGCTTCCTCTCTTTTTTTCTTGCAGAAAATTCTTTAGAATTGCTCTCAATTTTTCCATTTAACCCAACTTTGGCGCCCCCATAAACCCTTTTTATCGCGTACTCTCTAATACTTGTATTGATTTCTAGTTTGTGTATCTGCTATTGTTCGTTGCTTGGGTTTCTAATCGCTGGATATGGCGGCGACTGCATCGTGGCAACCCCAGGAAAATGGGTTCAACGAGATCTGCGGCGTGCTCGAGCAGCAGATTTCCCCTTCCTCAAATGCTGATAAGTCCCAGATTTGGCAACAACTTCAGCAATACTCTCAGTTTCCTGACTTCAATAATTACCTCGCTTTTATTCTTGCACGCGCCGAGGTTCTTCTACTTCTCTTCCTTCTGCTCTCTTTCGATATTATTGCAATTCGCTTCTGGGTTAATTGATGGGATTGATTCGACTTTATGCTTCTCGAGACTTCTGGGTTTTAATTTGCGGGTTCGGGTCTAACACACTGTCTGTTTATCGAGTACACTGGAGCTTGTACCGTTGGGATTAGTAGGTTGATCAGTTTTTGAGCACTCCTCTTGATGCAACCGGAATGCTTGTTTGCTCCCAAGGTGGACCCTTCACGGATATTGGTCATATTTGATTAGTGGAAGTTTGATTCACGAGGATAGAAGGGTTTATTGGTGGATTAATGTTCTAATTTGTTTCAGCCGATCTGTTGAACTTTGCTCTCGACTTCAGTTCATCACCAGTAGTGTTTTTGTCAAGTTTGCAATCTGCGCTCTGCCACACACGCACACACAAAAACCGAAAAAAGTTGAAGCGTTGTGTTGGGTTGTGTAAATGTTTGATCACAGACTTTCTGTATTTTTGTTTCTTTTATCTTATGATTCATTTGCAAATTCTAGTTTTGGAATTTGGAAAGTGAGTTGATACGTTGGAACTTTCTACAGGGTAAATCAGTTGAAGTTCGACAAGCTGCAGGCCTGCTTCTGAAAAACAACCTTAGAACTGCATACAAGTCGATGACTCCTGCCTACCAGCAATATATTAAATCCGAATTGTTGCCTTGTATGGGAGCAGCAGATAGGCATATCAGGTCTACCGCTGGGACCATCATCAGTGTTGTTGTTCAACTAGGGGGAATATTGGGGTGGCCCGAGTTGTTGCAAGCACTTGTAAGATGCTTAGACAGTAAAGACCAGAATCATATGGAAGGTGCTATGGATGCTTTGTCCAAGGTCTAATTCTCTATCCTACAATCTTACCTCATCTATTTTTATGAGGTATAAATGCAAGGAATATTATTTTGGCCGTATAATTCTTCATTCTATATTCTATACGAGTATGGTGAAGTATAATGTTTAGATAAGACTGTTCCTCGAGAAAGGATGGTTTTGTTTGTAAATTGAAGAATTTGGTTCTGAAAATTTTCAGAGTACAGTTTGATAATTTGTTTCATACTAAAACAGTTCAATAAGTTCACCTGGCCTTCAACTTTTTAATCTTTTACGCAATCTCTTTTAATGGAGATCAGACTGCTAACTAGCTTTGACATTTTAATTTTAATTTTATGTTTCTGGATCAGATTTGCGAAGACATACCTCAAGTTCTTGATTCAGATGTACCCGGGTTACCTGAACGCCCAATCAATATATTTCTTCATAGATTATTTCAGGTATTGTCATCTTTTATTCTCTCGTACATATCTATTTTTTATTTATTTATAGGTACTACGACTCAATTGGCAATATCTTGCAGCATTGTCTATCTAGAGCCATTAAGTTCTTTCAATATATCTCTTTATCTTTTAAGTTAAATCTCTGTTTCTTGATTCTTGTGCCTGGGTTTTCTTTGAACAGTTTTTTCAGTCCCCACATGCTTCATTGAGGAAACTTTCCTTGAGTTCTGTGAATCAATACATTATGCTGATGCCCACTGTAAGTATGTGATATTTCTTTGCCATTTTCCTTATTTTGGACCTCGTTTTTGATTTTATATTGATAGTGGTTGTTGCAATATGAATGATTGCAGGCTCTCTATATATCCATGGACCAGTATCTTCAGGGTCTATTTGTTCTTGCTCATGACCCTACATCAGAAGTGCGAAAGCTGGTCAGTGTTTTCAATTGCCTTATTCTGAGTGCATCTGGAGTATGTATTGTATTAGCTGCTTAATCACAGGTTTTACTTTTTGTCTGAGCTGTTTTGCCTCCTGCCCCCAGTGAGCTTTGATAAGCGGAGATTGATGCATTCTTGTGAATGTGATCTTAGGGGAAATGTTTGTGTCAGTTGCATTTTTTTCTTCAAACAACCAAATATAGCCACTCATGAAGGTTATTTGGTTTGAAGGGATTCCATCAAAGGTTGATAGTTAAATGTAGAATTCATACTTATGAATTATGATCATGGAGAAGAGAAGCTCACTGCTGCGGACTAGGCCTGCAGAGGACGGGGTAGTTCGGTTCTGGAATGTTCGGGCATATTTTTCTTGTAAATCAGAAATTTTAATCTGATAGCCAATGCTTCAAAATTAAGTTCTCATCTTAGAAAACTAATGTGGAGGGCTATGGTGCCAAAAGGAATTAATTTGTTCTACCGGTCACTTGCCTTAATAAGGGCTTAAATATGAAAGTAGAATCCAGAAAGAAATCCTCATCTATCCTTTTCTCCACTAGTCCGTCTAACTAAATTTGGAATGGTCTTCTGTCTTCCTAGTGACATTCTGAATTGGCTTATGAAATATCGTCGCGGTGGTGGTTGAACAACAAAGCTAGAGTGTATATTAGATCTGCTACAAGATTTCTTTGTGGCCATGTTTGGATTGAAGGAAGTTCAAACTTTTTAACAAAATACAAAAATCTGTAGAGATTTGTATAGTAATATACAGTTTTTAGTCTTGGGTTGGAGTGCCCATCATAAACTCCTTAATTTTAGCATCTTTATTATCTACTTTGACTGGTGAAGGATGTTGCAATAAATTATCTGTTTGACATCTATCACTGTAGACGGAGGCTTTATAGTAGTTTTCACATTGTGAAGCACGTTGTAGTTGTAGTAATATTGTTAGTTTGTCAAGCTTGGTGACCATCTTTTCATCCTCTTATTTCCTTTTCACATCTATGTTGAGCAGGTTTGTCAAGCATTTGTGCAGCTGATTGAAGTACGCCCAACTTTCTTGGAGGTTGGTGTCCTATCCCTTGTTCGGATTATGTGCCATATTTAATCCTTTCCTGCCTTTTGTACCTAGGACAGAAAAATGTGCTGGACCCGGTCTAATTCCCCCCTTTTCTAGACAACTATTCTTTTATTCTTTAAAATGCATCAATATCTTTTTCTGCTGCAGTAAAAAATGTCCTGTTTTATCATGTGATTTTGCAGCCACACCTGCGGAATGTAATAGAATACATGTTGCAAGTCAATAAGGATGCTGATGAGGAAGTCTCACTAGAAGCCTGTGAATTTTGGTAATTTCCACCTTGCAAACTATACACCTATATGTCTGTCTTGACTGGTATAGCTTAATACTTATTTATACAACTTTAATTTTGTACATGAGTTTGGTTATTATTGTTTTTTCTAATCTCCTTTGTTCTCTGAATTGTTTTATTGTTTGCAAATTCTGCATAATTTTGGGGAAGGGGAAATGTATGGCTGGCTTGCTATTGCCTGACTATTTGACTCTTGAATATAATTCTATACTTCTTTTTGATAATAAACGATTTTCATTGATGAAATAAATATACAAATGGAGATACATCTTTAAAAGGTACAGAGTTACAAAAAGGTTAGTTAGCCACTATTATAGAAATAGAATAATTACAAAATGATTTAGAGAGAGCCCACACATAAGGCAAGATCTGAAACTTCTGCCATCGAAGACTCATCCCTGTTGTAAATTATCTTATCCCTTTCAAACTATGCTTCGAAGATGGCCACGTTACCGTTAATCTACAACGCACTGCCATTTGAGAAGTTATGCAGTTCAGCTTAAGTTGGTGTTTCCGTGGAAAATGATAAAAATGTGCATTTTTTTAAAAAATGTAATTGTGTTATCAAAGTAGTGATATGGGAGATTTGGATGAAAAGGAACCATGAAATTGACGAGTGGATAATAATTGGCAGACATTTGGAGCTTGTTGGGTAAACAGGTTCTTTGTGGCTTATTTGTTCTGAACTTTATAATATCCCTTTGATTAATGCCTATTGGAGTATTTTTAAACTTTTTTGGTTTTCATCRACGAAAAAAATCCGGTTTATTAGTTTCATCTCCACCATCAAGAAAATGCAAATATTTCTTAGGTGACTCGGTTTTGAGGAGGTCTATACCTTATTTCTCTCTCCCTCTCCTTATAAATTTTATTCCATGAAAAGGTTTATTTCTTTGATATTAAGAACTGAGAAGATGAATCTTTTTGGTGTCTCTTTTGGTGTCCACCACTTAATAGGTTTGTACTTTGCCTATTCTTTTGATTATGGTTGATTGTAGCAGTAGCCACTCAGACCTCCCTCCCATCTTTGCACATCTGTGTTGTTTTATTTTTTGTTCTTTTGAACAATTTTCTCTCATCCATGCAATTTTTTCTTTTCAAATTTCATTTTCTTTTGGAAAACTATTGAATATTATATGTCTCTATACCAAAAACTCGATAAAAACAATAACTTTCATCAATGTAAAACATTAATTTGTGAACTTGAATTTAAATACTACAAAATCAATTTTGTCAATAAATATAACCAGTTTAAAATCATAAGATAAAATACGGAACCTAAGTTAAACTGTCTGTTATTATTGAAATCAATTTCATAATTTTCAAGCAATCTTGTTTTTGGTTGCTTCTGATGTTTCAAGATTCCTGAAGTTTATCTAGCTGGTTCTTTGCAAGAGGGAGGCTAGTTCTGAAAGTAGCACTCATCTTCTCTTGGTGTTAATCTTTCTTGTTCGGTGGGGTTGTATCTCTTTCTTTGGGTTCCTTCTCTCCCTTTTCTTTATTTTGTTTTGTTTTTTTACAGGAGTTTGTATCTTTCGTTCCTTTTCATTAATCAATGATAATCTTGTCTTTATCCAAAAAAAAAAAAATCAATGATAATCTTGTTAAATACTTTTTTTAATACTATGCTCTTTTTGTACTGGAGGTTGGAGTCTCTCCCCTATTTTCTTTGTAATTTCATCTCATCAATTAATTTTTATCTTTTAAAAGAAGTTACTACTTTGTTTCTTTCTTCTCCTTATTGTCATTGTGAAGTCATGGTAAATCATGAACCTAATGAATCCTTATCTTTCTTCCATCCTTCCCTTTGAGACTGCTATTGGATGATGACTTTTTTTTTTCAAAAGATTTGCCCTCTCTTTCTTCTCATTTGTGTTGGTATTTTTTTTGTTAGATCTGTTTCATTTTAAGTTATGCTTGGCAGGTCTGCATATTGTGATGCCCAGTTACCTCCTGAGAACTTGAGAGAGTTCTTGCCACGTTTAATTCCAGTATGGCACATGTTCAGACAAATACTTTCTTCCTTTTGCTACCTTGTAATTTGCAATGCTTTTAATGTGCATATTGTGATTTATGCAGGCATTATTGTCAAACATGGTTTATGCTGATGACGATGAATCACTTCTTGAAGCTGAGGTGAGTTGTMATACTTGGTTTGTTTATTTGAATAATTATGATCACCAATTAGTGCGGTTCATGATGTTGTCTTCCATGTACTCACTTCTACAGGAAGATGGATCTCTTCCAGACAGGGAGCAGGTAAAATCTCTTTTCTTCTTTGTTGATTTTGGAGGTTTTAACTGGAAAATAACAGTGTTTCACTACCTTGTGGTCCTCTTGATGAATTATGTTCTATTTACAATTACTTACTTCATTATTACTATTATTTTGCCAAACTTTCTGCATTGCAGGATCTAAAACCCCGTTTCCATTCTTCAAGATTACATGGATCGGATAATGCAGAAGATGATGTATGTTGTTTGTTAATACTTCTCTTATTTTGACTTATCAGATCCAATCAACAGATAAAGTCTTCTAGTATGTTTTATTTTCCTCTGTCGGATTAGGAAGTTAAGTTTTCTTTCCTCTAATATCAACATCTTTCAATAATTCAGGATGATGACATTGTAAATATATGGAACTTGCGCAAATGCAGTGCTGCAGCTCTTGATATTCTCTCCAATGTGTTTGGGGATGAAATTCTTCCTATATTGATGCCCATTGTTGAGGTAGGAAAATAATCAAGCAAAAGAAGCAGAACCTCAGCTGTGGAAAATTTCATTTTATCTTATTTTCTTCTCCTTCACTGTTTTTGTTTATAGTTTTTTCTATACATCGGTAGGTCACAACATCAACCATGAACCTTGTATTTCATTTTCCCCTCTTCCAATCATGGACCCTTTTATTCATTTTACCCTCAAGAGTTATGGTATGGTTGATTTTTGTTGTCTGCCTGCCTAAAACTGGTTTCACTTAGCTATTTGTGCTATAGACTTAGTTGGGTTTGATATAATGTGCCCAAGAATTCCTCCCAGTTTCATTCTCTTTCTTGTTAGATATTTTATTCAGATATATAAACCTTGCTGAGATTTCTGTTAGGTCAATTTGTCCGCAAATGGTGATGAAGCCTGGAAAGAAAGGGAAGCTGCTGTACTGGCTCTTGGTGCCATAGCTGAAGGGTGCATTAGTGGCCTATATCCTATTCTGCCTGAGGTGATATGTTATATGATTTTAATCAGCTAATGCATAACTTGTGGGTTCTGAATGATTTGAGTTTCTGTAATATTCTCGGAGAAAATTTTAAGCAAATACTGTTCATTGTTTTTTAATAGTTCCATTTCCTCCTTTAATTGGCAGGTTGGGCTACCTAATAACTTGACGTTGCTTGCTTTTCTGACCTAGAAAGTCAAATATTCAATAATGAGTTGTGTTGTATTGCAGATTGTCACGTTTCTCATCCCCCTTTTAGATGATAAATTTCCTCTAATAAGGAGTATATCTTGTTGGACACTTTCTCGTTTCAGCAAGTTCATTGTGCAGGTATGTGTTCATGGGAGTTTTTTAAAATTTATTTAAATTTTATAAAAATTATTATGTTTGTTACGTTTTCTAAATTATGTGGTAATATTAATGCTGTGGTTTGATCATTCCATGACAAAGATAGAAAACTCGATATTTTCTGGGGTTGAAATTGAAAGATTTAGAATGGCCCTTTGAGAAGACTTGTGGGGCTGTGGGGCTCTGCTTTCACAGGAAACAAGAACGGAAAAATTAAGGCCTTCGTGTCTGTGGATAGATGTAGCGATGAGATTCTCGTTCTTCAAACTGTATCTTGTATGTCTAACCTATAACCTATTATATAGGCGAAGTTGATTGTCAGGGGAAAAAACTCTTATCTAGGCGATATACTGGCTTTAGATCTGAACCTTTTGGTGAGCTTAATACTAAAAACCTTGATGTCTCCCAGGGTTGGGTCTTGGGGCAGGCGTGAGTGCCCCTGGATATAGGAAAGCAAAGCTCTGACTCCCAGTTTAAAAAATAATTATCTTCTAACGTTTTGGTATCATTGGATTTTGGTAATGCCAAAGGGCGCATATGTGGAAGGAATTTGGGATTTCATGCTTATGTTGAAATCTTTTCTTTATAAAAACCATCACGGGTGGCTCATTGGTCAAAATAGACTAAGGTTAATTGAAAGGGAATAGGTTCAAACCCCACGATGGTCACCTACTTTAGGAATTAATAATTCTTGTGTATTTCCCTGCACCAAATGTTGTATGGTTAGGCGGTTGTCCTGTGAGACTAGTCGAGGTGCGTGCAAGCTGGCATGGACACTCACGGATATAAAAAAAAGAAATATTTCTTTTATAAAGGCATATTTGTAATATTCTTTTTCTGTACTTCTATGTACAAAATGTGGCTGTTTTTTTTATTTGTTTGAATTTTGGAGGGCTTGGTCTCTTAATTTTAGTGGAGAGTGGATGTGAATCTTTGGACAATTTTTGAAGACAAGTTTGTGGCTCGTAGTAATACTAGTGTGTATGGATGTATAATTTATTTGTGTCGGTTAGAAATGTTAAATTTCTGCATCATGTTTCTTCTTCTACTTGTTTTTTCCCTTGTTGATGGAGTTCACTCTTGTAATTGTTATTTTTTACATATTCAGCATGTCTTGTTGTCTTTATTCCTTTGCACTGTGTTTCGTGTCAATTAGGATTTGTTTCTTATTAAAAAAGATTATGTAAATGTATTTGGCTGGTTAATCTCTTTGATTCTTATAAAAAAATTTCCCTTCTTAAATTCATGTGAGAGAGCATTGCTTTTTGTAACGTATTTCACTTTTCTTCCCATCTTAGGGCATTGGAAATCAGAAAGGTTATGAACAATTTGATAAGGTTCTCATGGGTCTTTTACGAAGATTATTGGACAATAACAAGAGGGTGCAAGAAGCTGCTTGTTCTGCTTTTGCAACGCTGGAGGAGGTTATTTTATTTATACTTCTTTTTACCTGCTAATAGATTATACCCTGTATAATTGATGGTGGTTTAGTAACTTGCAGGAAGCTGCAGAGGAGTTGGCACCACATTTGGAAAATATATTACAGCACCTGATATGTGCTTTTGGAAAATATCAGGTATCCTAACTATCTTGCATGCTTTCCTCTTTAAAATTAGATACACTTATTCTGCAGACATCTTTTTAAAAAAAATAAAAAATAAAAAATGATTATGAAGCTCTGTTTATCTGGGTTGTTAGAGTATATTCTCGTAGGGTGTCTGTATTTAACTTGCTTGTATGTGGTATACAGAGACGGAATCTACGGATAGTCTATGATGCTATTGGAACTCTAGCAGATGCTGTTGGAGGGGAGCTAAATCAGGTAACATATAATGCTTAAGTTTATGCGCCGAGTCATCTCTTTTTCTTCTGCTGCATTTGTAGATCATCAACTTTTGGAGTCACAGAAATTTCTATATCCTGCATGAAGTACAACCAAAATTGATTTCCGTTTGACTTTTTGTGATCTCAGCCTGCTTATCTTGATATTCTGATGCCGCCATTAATCACCAAATGGCAGCAACTTTCAAACTCAGACAAAGATCTCTTTCCATTGCTGGAGTGCTTCACATCTATAGCGCAGGTCTATATTTGTGTTTTGATTTATTAGCTTGTTTTTTGTTGCTTCGTCACAGTTATTAACATTTCCCGTAGCACTCATTTTACAAAGTGTTGAAATGCTCTTGGGAACAGTGGTAGTACTGTGAAGTACTAATTATATTTTCGAAAGGCTTCAAAGTTTTACTTGGTGTCTCCGTGATGTTTTATTCATAATCTAAGTTTTTTCACAGTTTTGGTGGTTGGGTTAACATTTCTGGAAATTGAGGAAATAGCTTGGTTTCTGTTCTAATTTTCTAGAAATTGTAGGAAAATCTTCCAGTGTTTTGACCTGTTGATTTTTGGCATTAAATGATCAATAATTTATATACCTTGATTTGAGTTTGGAGGATATGGGGAGGATTCATTGCGTGAGAAAACTTTATTGTTGAAATATTTGTACTTCTGGGAGTTGGTTTACTGATCTAATATTCAATAATTTTGATAAAAATGATGAAATTTCCTTTCCTTCTAGGCTTTGGGGACTGGATTTGCCCAATTTGCTCAGCCTGTGTATCAGAGGTGCATTAGCATCATCCAGACCCAACAAATGGCAAAGGTACTCCCGATCATTGATTTTCAATAAATACTTATTTAATCCCATTAATGTATGCTTTACTTTTCTCTTCATTTCTTTGAGCTTCTCTATGAATATGAAGGTGGTTGGCTTTATCTCATATTTGTGCTTAGGCTCAGTTTTTATTTATCGACCATGTTATCCTCTTCACCCCTTTAAAATAATGCGAGAAGATCCTTTAGCAGTTTGTAATGTGTAGCTGTCAAACTTCTTTTATTTCTGATGATTTTTTTTCCTCATAAGGAATATTGTATTTATTTTTTGAGAGTTACAAATGTGTAAAAGTATAGACATCTCCATTAAGGTGGCGAATGCATAATTCCCCTCAATACAAGAAATTACAGTTTCAAAATAAAAAGTCTAAAACATTACAAAAATGCACCTAGCTGAAAGAAACTACATTATAAAAAGAATTACAAATAAGAACTTAAAGTAGCTCAAGCAAAGAAGTATTACGTTTGACTAAATCCACCCTCCACTCCACTCCAAATCCTTCCCTCCAAAGATTCTTTGTATCCAAATGATAACTTTTATGGCATTTAACCATGAAAGCTTGGCTTTACTTCTAAATTTCATTGCACAAGGTAGCTTAAAAAAATATGACCCTTTGACCTCTTATTTGATACCCAAGAAACACCAAAAATTTTGAAAATCTGTTGCCAACGCTTAACACTATATGAACACTGAAACAATAGGTGTGCTAGGGTTTCTTCTACTTTAGAACATAGAAGACAGATTGAAGGATTTACCCATCATATAAAGATATATCTTTTGCAGTCCATCCGCTGTATTTAACCCATGCTAAAATGTAAACTTTTCTCCAAATATTAAGGATAGAAATTGCTTTTACAAATAACTAAGTGAGAAATTGGCACTATGTTCTTCCTTCCAAATCCTTTTATCGACACAAAAGTCACAGAAATTGAGCAGAAGGCTGTCGAATTGGCCAATGTCTTGCGTGTACCAATTGAAGTTTATTGAAAAATGAAGTTTAGAATGAATGCTACCTTCCAATAGTACCAGTAGGCCTCTAAGCTCCTCAATTTCTTCCTTAGATTTCTTATTGCGAAAATTCTCCAAGATCGAGATTTCAAGTCTCAAGCCCTGAAAACAGATAAATATTTCTGCTGAACCACTGCAAATAACTTTGAAATTGGACTAGTAACTTAATGATAATTTTTAGTTCTACACGGAGATAAATAACTTAATGATAGCATCAAGATATTTTATTAGGGTTTGGATCTTTGCTAATCTCAGCATAGTTTTAAACTCTTTTCAATTTTATTTGGAAATGAGTTGAGAGTGCAATATGTTGACTCCTGTATTGCATTTTCCGTCCTCATACCTCTTTTTTTTCCCTTTTTTCTCTCATCCGCACTCTTCTCATTGCCCCCTGTACTAAATCTGATTGTTCCTAATGATATGTGAGATCAAGTTAGCGATTCTATGCTTGCACTGTTTGATCCATCTTCTTAAGTCATTAGCTTGATATCATATTGCAGGTTGATCCCGTTTCTGCTGGGGTTCAGTATGATAAAGAGTTTATTGTATGCTGTCTTGATCTTCTGTCAGGACTTGCAGAGGGTCTTGGAAGTGGGATAGAAAGCTTGGTAATTACATTATAAACTAAGGATTTGCCTGTTTTGGCGATCCATATATCATACTTAAAAAAGGCATCGTATATTTCTTAGATGAAATGTGAATCCTATGCCTTCTAGTYGTAATTGAACTATGCTAATTTACTCTGAACTTGCTTGCATGGTGGCATTTCATGAAATTTCCTTCAGGTTTCTCAAAGCAACCTGAGAGACTTGCTCCTGCAATGTTGCATGGATGAAGCTTCTGATGTCCGACAGAGTGCCTTTGCTTTGCTTGGGGACCTTGGAAGAGTAAAGACTTGGCTTAATCTCTTCGATTGGTTTCCTTTGCTCCTTTTAGTTTAGTGGGTTATTAAAATTTTTAACCTCAACAAACTCCCGAGCATTATATATATCTTTCCAAAGTTATTCCGTTATTTACTTATTTGTTTTCAAATGAATTGATCTGCCGATGTAGGAATTTCATTATTTGTTTACTCCATAGTGGAGGAGGTAGCACAAGTTATACACTAGGCTGTGTTGGCTACTAGGAACTTTTGTGTCTCATGAGATTTTTTGTTGTATTTATCCTTTATTTATATTGCATTGTTAGGTATGCCATGTCCATCTGCAACCACGTTTGTCAGAATTTCTTACTGCTGCGGCAAAGCAACTGGTAAATAAGCTATTTTGTGGTTTGAATTTCAAATTTGAAGTTATTTTACCAGCGATATGTTTACTGAACAGGACACTCCTAAGCTGAAGGAAACTGTTTCTGTGGCAAACAATGCCTGCTGGGCGATTGGCGAATTAGCTGTTAAGGTATGTGTAGACTTTCACACAAATACAAAGTTCTGGTTATTGAGCTTGTTAGGGTATTTGTCTCTTCTCACATGCTTCTTCTTGAGATCATTGAAGTTTATGTTTTTGTTTTGGTTTGGGATAAAGATTATGTATAAAGAAAAGGCCAGTAGACTTTTTTGGACAAATGCAGGTAACTTTAAGTAAAATGTAGTGCATCTGATGGTAGGGGTGTTCTGATGGAGACTCTTTTGATCAAAGTAAGAAGAATTTCAATCTATCCATTAATTGAAGGAATATCCTATATATATAGGGATTACAACCAACAAAAACTAAAAGTAACTAACAATATCTAGCAAACAATAGTAACTTGTAGTTACTATACAGTAAAAGGGTTTGTAACCTACAAACTAAGCTTATATCATTAAAGCTTTTAAAACTACCCAAAGCCATAAACGTCTACATCAATTTCCCCCACCTAAAAAAAAAGAACTCATCCTCGAGTTAATCCGCTAATGCAAACTCATCAGGGGGATGGAAAGGGTGAACATCCACAACATTGAAGACCGGGCTTATACGATACTCAGTTGGGAGATCAATTTTGTAGGCATTTTCCCCAATCCGTTCAAGTATAGCAAAAGGACCCAACTTCCTTTCTTGAGTTTATTGTATGTCCCAACCGGAAAGTGGCTCTTCTGTAGATGGATCATAACAAGATCACCAATTTGGAATTCTTTAAATGTCCGCTTCTCATTTGCAGTAGCCTTGTACTTAGCGTTTGAAGTTTCTAGGTGTTGTCGAACTTCTTCACGTAGTTGAGTAATTCTAGCTGCCATCTCCTCTGCTTCCACACTAAGATCAACAGACATAGGGATATTAGTGAGATCTATAGTTAATATAGGGAGTTTAGTGTATACAACCTCAAATGGAGATTTCCCTGTGGTGCGGTTGCTCATATGGTTGAAGGCGAATTCAGCTTGTGCAAGCGCCATATCCCATTGCTGGCTACATCATGTTCATCGGTTGGTCGACATTGCTTTTAGGCTCAAACCAATGCCAATTTTCGTCGGTAAGAGCTCAGTGGTTTTGGAAGGTTCTACAACTCTCTACACCGGTGGCCAGTCATTTTTGGCCGAAACTAACGCAAAAGGGAACAAAAAGGTTGGAGAAAAAGAGAGATGGGGAGAGAAGATATCAGAAAGGGAGATGAAGAGGGAGGTGGGAGGAGATCAGGAAGAGAGATGAGAGAAATAACGAAAGTAAAGAAAGGAAAGAAAGAGAACGATAAAAAAGAAAAAGGGAACGTGGGAAGGAAAGAAAATAGAGTGAGGACAAAGATAAAAGTGAGAAGAAATTAAAAAAAAAAAAACTTTAATCACGCGTAGCTGCAAATGCAGACTGAATTTAGTGCAGTCAACAGCCCATATATTTTGCTAATAAATTAACTAAAGTCAGACAGTTTCGAATTTTACAAAATTGATTCCGATCGAACTGTTGAATCAATCGATGTTGGTTTGGTTAGTTTTGATCGGTTGGATTGGTTTTTCGAAATTTTTTGGTCACTCCCATCTCATGGTAAAACATCCCTAACCTGGAACTTCAACAGTATCTCTTCTCTACTATAACGCAAAAATTAAAATGACTCATTGAGGAATTATTTTAGAGCAATAGCTTGAAAAGAGCCAAAAATTCACCGACTCAAACAGGTTTGTTGTTCCTATTCTGTTTGCACTACCACAGCCCTAACCGTGTAATGCTAAATTTCTAGGTTTCTGAATCTCAATATTATATTACATTTATATTCCCATGTGGTGATTAAGATTTAGAAAATCTGGTATTGCCTTGCTCATGTCACATCAACCTCGTTGGTAAATGGAATTTGTAAGCAACAATTTGACGTTATTTGACATTGTTATTAAATAGGTACACCAAGAAATTTCTCCAGTTGTTATGACCGTGATTTCAAGCTTAGTCCCAATTCTTCAACATGCAAAGGTGATGATGGTCCCCTTTCTTTTGCACTAACATATCTCATTATTTGTGTATTATGGCACTGATAACTGATAAGTCTCTTCATTAAGAACTAGGAACATAGGTGAGAAAAGGTAGATTTGTTATTAGATATTTAGTTCGATGAGAGAAACAATGAGCTGTGTAAAGTGTCCCCGTCTGTCCCTTGGAGGGATATTGAATACTTATTATTATTATTTGATTTCTTTCTTTATGCCATGCAGGAGCTAAATAAATCTCTGGTGGAAAATAGTGCAATTACACTTGGAAGGATTGCATGGGTTTGTCCTCAACAAGTGTCACCACATATGGAACATTTCATGCAACCGTGGTGCACCGCTTTATCCATGTAAGGTTCTCTGACTTATTATGAATGTTGTGTTAAAAGCTTAAAGATGCTTATATAGTAGATAATAGATATACTTGCACACGAGGCGCCACAGCCTTGTTTTACTTTCATTGCATTCTAATTTTAACTTTTACTGGGTTGGGTGTCTAGAAATTTTTGTATGACGTGTTACATCAGAATATGTTTTTTTTTTAGTAGAAGTGGCTTATTAGTAGGACTACTAAAAACCGTGATTGTGTACTTTGGAGGATTGGGCCGACAGATTAATTGAAAGGCATAACTACTGACGTCTAATTGTTTCAATTAAATCCCATCTTTGTATCCCTAAGAAAATTTGATTTTTTTTTTTAAATCCATTCCATTGTATTTTTTAGCATGGGTTGATGTTTCCATTATACTGGCAGGATACATGATGATGTAGAAAAGGAAGATGCTTTCCGAGGTCTTTGTGCTCTGGTAAGTCTCTTGAGTTTGTAAAAAGTACTGTACCACCTATAAAAAAAAGTACTGTACCTGTTTCTGACTAATAATTATTATGTTTTTGCTTCTTTCAGGCTAAATCGAATCCGTCTGGGGCACTAAGTTCGCTTGCTCATATGTGCAAAGCCATTGCCAGTTGGCATGTAAGCATGGAAAGTTTGGCGTGTCAATATCTGAAATTGCTTGATTTTTTCCATGAGTGACTGTGTGTTCTTAACTGAACTTGTTACCTGCAGGAAATAAGGAGTCAAGATCTTCATAATGAAGTATGCCTCGTTCTGCAGGGCTATAAACAGGTTGGTAATATTGTTTAAACTGGTTCATACTAGAATTTTTAAGCGAGGAAAAGAAGGATGGAACTTTTTGAGTGCATTAAAATCTGGGTGGAGTTCCTTTATGATATAACTTGTAAGAGTTTAAGATGGAAGTGATGGTTTTGGCTGGCAAAGTGAGCTTTGTAGTTGAAATTTTAAGGAAAACAAAGACTAGATCTCCAATGCATTTCCAAGAAAAACGTGAAAGTTTTTTGGCTTAACCATTGTCGTGGGCCATTTTATATTCTATTATTATTAGTCTTAATAAAAGTTGGCATTCCAAATAAAGGAAAAGATAGAAAAAGGAGAAACGTCAAATAATTGCAATGGGTGGGGTTGTGAAAGATGGTAACAGTTGACACAGCTCCCTAGCCTGATAGATATATTGATAAAGGAGATATATGGTTACGGTTGGCAAGAGAATCAAACGTTGCGATGCCTCTGGCCACAAATTTTTTCATATTAATCATCACAATGTAATGCTCCTAGTGTAATAATATTAATTTTCTTATCAATGTCCGTATTGGCAGATGCTGAGAAATGGTGGGTGGGACCAATGTATTTCTTCTCTAGAACCTTATGTGAAGGACAGCTTATCAAAATATCAAGTATAGGCTGATGTTCATCAAGCATTCTTCTCAAGTATATGCTTCAAATTCTGTCTTGAAACCGATGGTCGTTTGTACATCGTCTGTGTGTCGCTCTTGTGATTGATTGGAGAAACATCAAGTTTTAGTAGTAGTCTCAGGAAAACCCCAAGTTGCTGAACTTGTTGTTGACTTGAAGCTTGAAGATAATTGCACATCCTCAAGGTTTTATACAGTTTTGACTTGGTTGAGACAGCACTTTGAAATGAAGCAGCTGAAGTGGGGGCAATGTTGTACAGGGGATGTGTTGAGATAGTGTGGTGCCCTTATAGTTCCCAATCCCTTTCCTTTCATTGTGATATTTTTGAGTACCCTTTCAGTCTGGATTCGGTATATCGATTTTGGGGCGTCGGTTTGCCTTACACAAGTTATATGGGTAGAGTCGAGCACATTTTTTTTCTTTCCTTTTAAATTTTATCATTTTGGTCCTATGAATTTTCCATTGATGAATAGGACTATAGGTTATTATGAAGGTTAGAGCTGAGGTATTCTTGCTACATTTAGCAGTTGTGGCGATTTGGGATTTTTTGTTTTTTGTTTTTGGAAGCAATAAGGAGTTGTTATGTACTTTATTAAACCATATCTTGTTTGTATTAGAACTTCCTTTCCTTTGTGGCCATGGCCATTATCTTCACTAATCAGTTCTTTAAGTCTTAGATAATTGCTAAGGATGTTGTAAATCTTTGGGCTTTAGTGATTGCTTATTCTTTGGATTAAATTGTTCCAATCTCACATTTAGGATTGAGTTTTTTCTTGCATTTTGGTTTCCACTCATTCTGAAATCCTACATCTTATTATACACTATTTTATTAGTTGAAATAAATGTTACCTCTGCCAAGCATTTGTCCACAGCTAATACAAATTATATACAAACAATTTTGTTTTTGTTTTCTATTTTTGAAAATTACACCTCTAGGCTCTATCTATATGTCTCTTTATTATTTTATTTTATCTACTTTTTGAGGCAAAATCAAGTAAAATTTTGAAAAATAAAAAAGTAGTTTTAAAAAACTTGTGCCTGTTTTTTAAACATGGCTGAGAAGCCAAATTTATTTTTAAGAATAGTGAAAATAAACCAAAGAAATAATGAGAAAATAAATCAAAATTTTCAGAAGTAGAAAACTAAAAACAAAATGATTTACAAAACGCAACAAAGCTCTACTATTTGCCTGCATGAAACATCTAAGATGCAGCCCAATACAATCTGTGAATTTGGTTTGCTTCTACTTCTGTAAACCCCTTTTGATGGAGGGTTTTGTGGTAAAGATTTGGATTCATTTCTTCAAGAACAGTCTTCACATTGTATGCCAATTCCTTAACACTATCACTCCAGTGACTTCTCACAATCTTCTCCATCCCTTCAATGATCACTGGAAACACCTCTTCCATGGCTGTTGACACCATCTTCACGAACGCCTCGCTGTTCCACATGTACAGCGCTCGCTCTGCCACCTAAGTCAAAAGAGACCATTGTTGCAGACTCATGTTAACAATCAATGGTGAAACAGAACAATAAACTTATCTTACAGAGTCCTCATCGGTTAAATATGTTAGATTTCAATTATTGCTCTTATCTCAATTTTTGAAATTGACCCCAAAATTCATAACTTTTTCAATCCTACATTTTATTTTATAATATATATATTTTTTAACGATGGTGGCTACCTGAAATAATAGGGGTATAAAACAATATGAACTTTTATTACAAATTTATATTGCGATGTGTTTGCCTTTCCTTATCTGTGTACAAGTTTTCTAATTTCTACTCCGATTGCAAATAACACAAACGAAAACTCTAGGAAATTACTAGAAAAATTTTAAGGGAAAATACCAAGGGTGTGAATTGACTTCTACTTGTACATTTATGGCCACAATTTCGACCAAGGGATGCAAGAAAAGTGAAAGTAAATGAGTAGTTAGTTCAATGAAAGAAAAACCAAAAAATGCTGGTCACGGTGACACTATGGTGTGATGAACATTTCGAATAATTTCTCATTAGGAAAGGTTATAGTTTTAAAAAGAAATTATTAAACTAAGATTGTTATAAAGTAGAATAAAGATGGTCGCATCAACTCTAGGAACGATTTTTTTAAGAATGGTATACAACCTCAAAATGAGCAGCCTAGGCCTCATTTGATAACTATGTTTGTTTTCAATTTTATGTTTTTCAAAATTAAACGTGCAACACCCTACTCCACCATGTATTCCTTTATTTTGTTACCTAACTAGCCAAATTTTAAAAACAAAAATAAGTTAAAATTTGGATAAAAATTCAAAATGTGAAAAATAAAAAAGAAACAGAAAACTAAAAATGAAATTGTTATCAAACGGTTTACCAGGGAGTTCAAGCTGTTGAAACATTTTGTCATGTGGGAACAGAGGGGCAGAGCTAAATCCCTATGTAGTTTTGGGTCCAATCTCTCCACCAAATCCTCCATTTCCTCGATGAGTTTAAGCTCCTTCTGAGTGTTAGCCGCAGGCCAGTACTTTATGATTCTTCTCACCACCAACCCACCAAGCTCAGGATCCTTCTGCACAAACTGAGACACACAGTAAGCCAGCTGCTTGTTGAAACCTTGCATTCCTTTGACCTTGTGCAGAGGAATTAGTATCCTTTTCAAGAAAACTTTGTGCTCTTCCTTTAGAGGAACTGCAAATCCATTGATTATGCTCCCCCATATCTCAAGCATCTCTGCGATGCCATTGTGCCGCTCTGTCTCAAAAATATAGTCTAAGAACACTGAGCTCATTGACTTTCGCATGAATGATCTGTACATGGTGAATCTGTAATATATTTGGTGGTATATATTCTTCAAACTTTCTCGCTCCCTCGATTCGTCTGAATCGAAAAGCGAAAGAAGGCCGAGAAGAAACCTGTAATCTATATGCTTTTCGAGTGTCTGAGGATCAATGTTGACAAGCAGCCAGAGGAGGATATCGTAGACAATTTCAAGTTGCGGCCAATTTGGAGAAGGATTGGCAATGATGACTTCATCATCAGCAAAGTTTGAGCCGATTGCAGCAGGGAGAGGTGGAGGGAGTGGCCGAAATAGATTGGCTGACACCAAAAACATGAGAGACGACAAAACATCTCCGTGCATCATTTTCTTCGACGACTTGATGACACAGAAAAGATGGGTGAGCTTGAATCGCTTCAATTCATGAGAAGTCGGCGCATACTGGCTGGTAATGGAGGAGCAGAAGGAAATTATAGAAAGAACTTCATCTTCAATACCATTGTTGAAGCCAAAGCGTTTGTTGCTATATGGATCCTGATCGAAGAGATGTTTTAAAGTCGGAAGACACTTATCCGGGGTGGCTTTCCGGGTGTTGCTTTGAACCCCCATTACTCTCCAAAGACTGCTTCTTCTTCTTCTCCTTCTTCTCCTTCTCCTTCTTCTCCTTCTTTTTCAAAGACTGCTGCTTGGAAATGTTTGGTAAATTTTGGTGCAGTTGATCTCGTAGCTTCCAAGATTGGAGAGAGGGAGAGAGTGATCCTATTTGATTGTCTGTATAAATAGCGTCCCGAGCCTGCCATTACAGTATCGTAGTTTCCGACCCTACTAAATGGGGCAAGAAAATCATCCCCTCGCTGATGATTTGGGTTAATGCCACGTGGAAGAATCTGTCCATTATCCCAAGTAGACATTGATAACAAGATAAAATTCTTGTTGATAACTTGATCTTATCAATTAAAAAGCATAACTGAACCGGCTCCTCAGGAAACTCTTAATGTTATTTTATTCGCAGGGAACTTATCGCTTACAAATACTAAATTCAGCTGACTTCTGAAACAGCGGCACACATTGGAGATGGAGGAAAAAAGTATTCTAACAATCCAAACTCAAAGAGCAAAGGAACAAAAAATGGGTGGTCCAGGCAGCTGGTTTGGTGATGTCTAGTGTTGAATAGGGGTAATAAATAAGAATTTAACCAAATTGGGCAGCAAGGAAAAAAATGAGGAGAGAGAGAGAGAGAGAGAGAGAGAGAGAGAGAGAGAGAGAGAGAGAGAATTCTACAAGCCAACTTTGTTTTCTGAAATATTCTAATTGCATAGGAAACGTAGATTGTTACCAATCTTTCAGATTACCACTGTCAATCAGGGTTCATTAACCAGGCTATACTTGAAACTGATATCTGGTAAGTCAGAAGTAGCAGAGAACCTCAACCATCCTTTCTTCTCAGCGAACTCGATGCAAGGATACATGGCAAGGCCAATCATCACAGCGAGGAGGCTTAAAGCCATAACCTTAAATGAAGCAAGGGCCAATACCACAAAAATTAACAGACTTGGAGCAGTGCAGATCAAAACAGCACCAGCTGTTCCAACAGGTATTTTATATGGCCGAGAAGCTTCTGGATGTCCAATTCTTAACTTCAAAAAAGCTGCAAACTCCAAAAGCATCCCAAAACAGTATAAGAAGTTTTCTGCTGCTACGATCTCCTGAAAACTCAACCATGAAAGCAAAAGAACACCAGAAGCAGAGAAGATGATCCCAATCAGGGGGGTTCCGTAACGACTTCTCTTGGAAAAGAATGAAGGAAGCATACCGATCTCCGCCATTCCCAGAAGCTGAAAGGAGTCACTGCTCATCTCGGCCAAAAACATTCCCATGTTTGACAAAGCAGACGCTCCTTGTACCCACACTCTCAACCACACACCCCCTAGCAATTTAGCAACATCTGAGAAATAGCCATCAGACCAGAGCTCACGGTCAAGGGGGATAGCTCCAGTTCCTACTAGAAGAGGGAAAAAGTACCCCAACACAACCAATATAACAGCATAAAACAAAGCTTTCGGCAGGGTTTCCCTTGGATTTTCCACCTCTCCTGTAAGAGTACTAACTGAATCCCAGTAATTTAGATTCCAAAATAGTGTGTTCAAATACAATCTCCAATCCACATTTCCCAGATCCATCACAAACCACCTTGCAGGTTTTAACTTGGGAATGGAAATCAGTCCCATAAACACAAAGGGGAGTAGTGAAAACACCCCCAGTAATATAGCCACCCAACCCACTATAGTTAGACCCCTGTAGCTCATGTATGTAAGAATCGCAGTGAGGACCACAACAGCGATTATCCTAGGGAAACCACCTTCTAATGCTGGGATTCCTGATTTTACATAGTCGAGAAATAGAACTGGATACAGAGCATTATCGATCACCCCGCTAAGCCATTTCATCCAACCAAGCTGAAAGCCCCAGAAAGGACCCAAGGCTGAAGAAACCCAAACAACATATCCACCATTTTCAGGGAACATAGTACCCATTTCAGCAGTAACCAGGGCCTCAGGAATACTCCATACAAATGGGAAAATCAGGAAACCTACGAGAGCTAAAAGAGGGCCACCAGCTTTGACACTGTCTTCAACACCAAAAGGTCCCCCAGAAACCTCATAGAAGATTAGAAAAACGAGTGGTACAACAGAGAGCTTTTGAAATCTGTCTAACCTGGGACTGGCAGGAGATCCTTCCCCTAGATTGCCAATACGTTCGGCAGTATTGCGCTCCATATTTCTGTCAACAAGAAACCATCAGCCGAAATAGGAGAGAAAAGAAAAACAAAAAACATCTCGGGAAAATCCCAACGAATGTGGAATCAAAAAGACATTAACAACACTTTTAACGTAGTATCAGACAGAAAATTCCAAAAATATTCTACAAAACCTGACAGGAGAAAGACATGGAATTCAAAGCCTCTATAACTTCCTACATTTTTCTCCAACAACAAGCACATTGAACCAAACACAAATCACATTCCACAAGGCTAAGGTCATTAACAACTCTAATCGATTACTACGAACAAAAAACAGAGTTACCAATCAGGGAAGCAGGCAAATCGAATCTGAAACAGAAGGGAAGAACTAGAATCCAGAAGAGGACGAATTAAGAAGAAGAAGGAGGAGATACCTTAACCGTATCGCTTAATGCGAGGAGTGACGCATTCAATGGCGATGTGTTGGAAAGCGAAGTAGCGAACAACGACGTGTGAGCTGCAAATTAGAGAGTGGAAATGCCGGCGAGGTGAGTATTAAATATTGATCCGGCAAGTCGGCGGCAGGCGGTGTTACCCAGTAGAAGAAATGAAGGTGGATTCTAGACTGATCCGTCCGAGCGAGTTGCTGTTCGTCGATCCAAAGGGACCCGAATCACAATTGCTTTTAGGTTTGACTTGATCCATTCATCTTTTTCACTCCCCGTTTTGAAACAGAAACACTATCGAAGAAGAAGAGAGAGAAAACTTGGAGCGATCCCATGGCTCATCAATGGCGATTTATCTTCCAGGATCTGATTAATTACAAATGTCCATAGATCAAACCTCAGGATCAATGAATATTTATGTACAGGTTATAAAAACTAAAAAAAAAAATTATGATAAATATTTAAATAAAATAAAAATATTATGTCTATGATAATATTTTGGAATGGTCGCAAGTATAGCAGTAAAATTAGCAAAACAGAAATTACGTTTAGTTTTCTTTTTAAAAATAGCAAAATAAAATGGAGGTCCAATTTTGAAATAACAACTTTACTCAAATGATATACATATGTAATATATCTAACAACTGATATATGTATACCACTAATATGAACGTCTGATATACTTGTAATATGTATGTGATATACATCTGATATACTGTTGATATTTATGTCTATAATATGTACATGATATACATCTAATATACTACTGATATGAGTGTCTGATATAATACTAATCTACAACTGATATGAGTATTTGATGTACTACTAATATAAATGAATTTTTTTGCTATATTTAAAAATTTTAAAAGCAAGTGATGTATTTTGAAATACATAGAAGATTTTTGCTATCCACCTCAATTTTCCTAATATTTTATATATTTTTTCGTCTGGACAATAGGTGTAAGATAGAAAAAAGAAAAAAAAAAGAAAGGATTTGACATGTGCAGTGGATTCAATACGTATGATTTTAGTTATTAAATGGAAACTATGAATTATATATGTGATTTACGCTTGGGAAAAAGTTTGGAGAGTAAAATAAAATTAAAAGTTTACCGCATTTATTTTATGATTAAAAAAATTACAATTAAGAACAGTAGTGGTTCTCAGACAAGTTGAGTACTAATATAATAGCTCGTTGTAAAATGCTAGTTAGTTAGGCTAAGTTCGTAATGACTTTTTTCCTACGAGGTACCCACATCTTCAAGTGGAGCCCAAATTGTATAAGGCAAGCCTAGGACTCACTTTGATGATCTCAATTGTACAAGTGGCTTATTTATGTCGTGACCGACATTCCTATGTGGTCCTATTTATTCAAGAATCTAAATGTAATCTTTGGATGTTGTCATGACACTTGAGTTACCAAGATTGCGAAATTGTATTTATGGATGGACCTAGACGATGAAAATCCCTCAAAACTCAATCAATATCAATATGTAGTGACTCATTGAGTTTTATTGATTTGTCAAGGAAAAAAAAAGTTGTGTTGGATTTGTTTTGAGTAAACAATTATTTTATAGGTACTTTTTTTAAACAAGAATTAACTAAATAATTTTTGTTAAAATAGTTTAAAGTAAATCATTAAAGGTATATCTAACAATATAGATTGTATGAAAAAATGACACGATTTCAAAAATCGGGTAAAAATTTTGAAATCGTAATTTTATCATAGTTCTGGTTGATTGATATGGCTTAAAAAAAGATTAAGGTTATAGTCCCTTGAAGATCAGAAGAGAAGTAAAAAAATGAGTGAAGAAGGAAGAAGGAAACAACCGAAAAACGAAATTACTTTTTGTAGTTTCCAAAATTTGACCCTTTCTTTTTTAAACGTTCCTCAAATTTTAGAAACGAGAAATTGGATGGATTACCAAAATTTTGTTTCTTAAAAAACGAGAAACAAGAACAAGAAACAGAAAACATGAACATTACCAGACGAGTCCCGTCTTACTCCATCTTAAAATTTTAAAATCATATTAAAAAAATTTAAGATTTTATCATTTTCTATCTAATTTATCCTTCAATATTTGAGAATTTAAAAAAGTTCCATTAAAAAAATATGGCTCTCTTATGTCGATTTTTAGTGGTGGCTAATATATCTTGATTGATGAATGCTTAAATATTATTGTGTTATTCAAAATTCTAGATTCGGTGGAAAGAATACAACTGAATTTTTAAAAATAAAGTGAAATTTCATAAATAGTGTAATTTAAAAAAATTATAAAAATAGAGTAACTTTCAAAGTAATAATAAAAGTTATAAATTAAATTAATTTTTTTTCTAAAACTAGGATATACATTAAAAATATTGACAAAAAGATAGAGTAGTTTCCGATATAAAGGTAAAAAATTCTCACATGATTGATTAACTTGTTGATTAACTTTTTTTACCAACGACCGTGCATTTTAAGTTTTTTACTGCACGTGGGACAGAACTAAAGCAACGTATGCATTAAAGCCCGCAATTTATATTGCAATAGCATACAACTTACTCGATTCACCTTAAATTGCTCTCAACCAACACAATTTTGACACCTCATTTTTTAAATTAGTTTTAAAACTATGCATTACTTTATTGAAAGATCCGTAGAGAAGTTGTATTTTAAATTTTAAATTTTAAATTCCATCCTCTTTTAAGAATGTTTAAAATGGAAATCTAAGGATTTTTAAATACTACAATGGCAAACAAACATGTATTCATTAATATATATACTTTTCACAGTAAAAGAATTCATTATTTAAAAATAATATTATAACAACTTAAATATCTCTTTCAAATTTTCTTCCCTAATTAAATCCATTATTTGCTTACATATGAATAGAACTGTGAAAACACTTGTCGACAAGGTACTCGTGGTAAAACCCATGGTAGCTAATAATAATGTTATGTTACAATAATTTATTTAATTAAAAAGTCAAAATGAAACCAATTATCAGACACCAATTAATATAAACATGAATCTATTTCCATTTCATTGGGAAAAAAAAGGAAAAAGAAAAAAAAACTAAAGTAACATACATGGAATGGTTCAAAATAGAGTACTAAACACAATGTTTTTTTTTATTATCAAAAATGGATTACAACATACTTTTAGTCCAAGTACTTTCTTCGTTGAAATACTATTTAGTACTTGAACTTTAGTATATAATAATTTAATGTATATAGTTTAAAAGTTGTAACAATTTAATTCATACCATAAAAAATCTTATCAAAAGTATAGTTATTATATAATTAGCAAATTAGTATTTGTAATTTATAAAAGCATTTCGTTAATCATTATTAGTTAATGGATTCATACATATAAAAGAAACTCCATCAAATTTTAACTAAGATTTTTTTTTTACAAGAGCAAGGACTACATTGTTACTTCAATGAACATAAAGGAACAAACCTATTTTTTTACTTGTATATATACCAAAAACACACCCAAATCCAGCTTTATAACCTTTGTTTTAAGCCTACCACCTAACAAATATAATTAAATCTTATTCTAATGGTCACGTTGATGCTATATTAGGCAATTTCTCATCTGAACACGTATCTGAGTATATCTAACTTTATTATTAAAGGTAATAGAAAAAAAACGTTTAAGTACTATTTTGATTTATACACTTTCAGTCTGGTTTCCTTTCATCTATTTTAAAAAATGTCAATTTTGATGTTTGGTCCTTGTACTTTTTAAAAGTGACTAATTGATTCATGTTTGCAAAATTTTAACAATAAAGAACAAAAATAAATATTTCAAAATTTTGACTAAAATATACCAAAGCTAAAAATATATGGACTAAAATTGATATTTTAAAGGTAGGGGAGAAATATGAACCAAAAATTACTGGTATCAAAATAAAAAAAAAAACATGTTAATTAGACTAAATAAGTTTTAAAATTTAGCCACCTGCTCCTCTAAATTTGATGCCAATTAGGTCTTACCCAATTTTAATATTTTTGGTCCATGAGACTCACCAAACATGACATGTTTATTCCTAGATTTGCCATTTGTCTCAAGACTATTTGGCATATAGAAAAAATAAGAATGAAAAGTTTTAGAATATGATGATTTTTATCAATAGAATTATTAACTATAAAAGAATAAGAATTACCACGTGGCAAGTAGGTCTCTCGATCCTTTCTTAAATGAAAGGATAAGTACCAAGAGGTATTGTTCAAACGCACTTCTATAATGGGGCTGCAGGGTTACCTTAATACCTAAAAAAAAGTTCCGTGTATGGAGCCTATAAATATTAAAATGGGATGCTTTGTGAAATATTTTAGATTGCTACAAGCATACAACTTTCTTATTATAAGCAACTCTACTCTCCTTTTCCTAATATTTTGTCTTTGGTAGAGGCTTTTCATATTAGTGAAATTTTAATTTGTCTTGTTCCGTTTAAGAAAAAAAATGTTTCTTTCTTATAAGGCATGGGAGATTGGAAGATTTTGAGTTTAACATTTAAAATATAAATTCATTTCCAATAGTTTAGACTGAGTTTTAGTTGAGTCTTTATAGTTTTAAAAGTTTTAATTTGAAATCTTATATGATTGTCTGGTCTGGTCAAATATCACCGTCATTCTTCAACTATATTTCTTTTACCTATATGAAAATCCACTCATATTTTTCTCCTGAGTTTTCCCCTGTAGAACCTAATGCATTCAACTATGTGAATAGAAACCACCACCTCATTGTCATGTAAATTGAAAAATGTGTCACTTATTCAATGAGATAACGACTAGAAACAACGATGACCATTTGTAAAGAGTCTAAATTGAAAATTTCAAAACTATAAACACCAAAATTTAACCGAAACCATAAAAACTATATTTAGCTCCTCAAAACTAGGTACCAAATTAAAACTTAGTCCATAGTTTAAAGTATTTAAAACAAACTATTCTGAGAAAATAACATCTCTAGATTTCAAATTACCATTTTGTTATTCAACTAGACTAGCTATTATTGAGAAATTATCGTACTGTTTACTTTTTCAAAAAAAAAAAAAAAACCTATTTTACTTTTAATTTTTCGTTTTGTAAAAATCAAACTTATAAACCCCACTCCCATATACCCATATGTATACTACTTTATTTTGCTATCTAAATTTCATGCCGTCTTCAAAATCTAAGTCAAATTTTAAACATTACAAATTTTTTTTTTGAATATACATTTTCATTTTTAAAATTAAACTAAGAAATCCAATATACCTTAAAAGAAAATAAATTTAAAAAATTAGAATGACACAAACATAATTATTAAAAAGTAAAACCCAAAATCATTTTAATAATTTAAGTTAATTTGTTATTTTTTATCTTTATTTTAATTGAGA